ACGTGGTCTCGATGGAATATTGGTGGTCCTTAAAGACTGTAGGGGATCAAAGAACAGGTAGGGGACACCTGGGGGGATCTGTAGGGAATGGAAAAGGGCACTTGGGGAATTCAACTGAGGACAGAAAGAGGAGGCAGGGCACTTGAGAGGATCTTTAAGGGATGGAAACCGTTTAACCACTTCCTCACCAGGGCTCTTATCTCTCCTTGTCCAGAGGCTGCGGGCATCGAGGACGAAGTAGAGGCCCAGGCTGAAGACGAAGACAGCAGCACAGCCCCTCACCACCGCCACCACCAGGTTCCGATGGGACCGCCCCTGGGCACCTGTGGGGTGCAAGTGTTTGGGTGTTAACATCACAGGGCAGGGATGCAGGGACAGTTCCACCCATGGGTGACACCGGGGGTGTGCAAATGGGGTCTCAGACCCGACTGGGGTTGCAGGTGTGGGTGTTACCTCCATCATCATGCTGTCCCCTAGGGGTGAGGACACAAATGTGTGATCCTTGGGGTTGTAGGATTTTGTACTGGTGCTGGCAGAGGCCAGAGTCCCTCCTGAGTGGGTGAAGGTTTCTGTACCCCACCCACAGTATTCCCAGTGGGATCCTGGCACAGGATAGGGTCCGAGCATTCAGCTGTGTGCAGGAGGAATGTGCCACCATGACCCCCATTCCAGCGGTGGGTGGTGACATCAGTCCCCATTGCCACATGTTCCCTGGGCTCAGGGAAATGCTGAGTTGGGGGAAGCTGCGGTTTGCGTGCAGGGAGGAGAAGACACCAGGGCCAGCTGGTGTCCATGGTGCCCTCACCTGTCAGCACCAGCTCCACGGGCTCACTCGTATTTGATGTCCACAGTGGCTCTGACACCTGGTACCGACACTGATATGTCCCTGCATCTTCCAGGTTTGTGACAGCAAAGGAGAACTCAGCTGTATCCTGCTCCTTGTCTTTTTGCTTGTCAGATCTGAGAGTTCCATTCAACCAGAGCTGGACCCAGGCAGGCATTCGGGGCAGGTGGCAGCGCAGGGTGACAGTGTCCCCCAGGGACACCCCCTGGCGGGGGTGCAGCAACAGGGAGGGTCGGAGCACTAGGACAGGGGACAGCAGTCAGCCTTGTCCCTGCACACCCTCCTGTGCCCCTCTCATGGCACCCTGAACACACTCCCCTCCCACTCTCCCCATTCTTCCTCTGTCCCCATACTCACAATGCCGTGCTCTGCTCATTGCCACCAGCCACCAACCTGCAAGGGACACGGTCCTGGTCAGATACCTGGCCACCAACCCCCGTGGCACCACGTCCCCATTGTCACTCACCCAGGATGAGGGCCAACGCCATTGGTTCCATGAGGCAGGAGCAGCTCTGGGA